GCGACCCGGCCCAGCCTTCCCACCCACCCCACCCCACGGTTCTGTGACGGATCCCACCAGCTCACCGGCTTGGTGTTGTGCAGGAAGGGCTGGGCCGTCTCCTTGAGCAGCTTGGAGAACTCGCCCTTGCTCAGGTAGTCGTCGATGGGGTACTGCACGGCGTACTGGTGGTAGATGTTGACGGCGCACTCCAGGGCCAGCTCCAGGTCGGTTTTCATCCTGCTGGGAAAGGATGGGGGGGGGGAGACACAAACAGAGAGTAAAACGTCAGAGCTGGTTGGAGGAGAGAGAGAGAGAGAGGACTGACCTCTCTCTCTCTCTCTCTCTCTCTCTCACTTTCTCCAGGTCCATCCTGGTGTTGCTGCTTCCAGGTGCCCTCTGGAAGAACCCGCTCACCTTGGAGGAGTTCTGGGCTCTGCTGATGATGCACAGAAGGAGCAGGAGCGGTTGGTGCCGCGCAGGGGGGGACGACTCCTCTTTTTATACCCTTCCCTGAGCCACGATTTTTGTGACACCCTCGAATCTCCTCCCGGGGCCACAACGCCCCACGGGGAGTTGTGCAAGGTTGCTCAGCAACGCCCAGGTGGTGACTTCTTGGCTCCAGGAACTGGCTGCTCTCCCTGTCAGGGGAGGGGGGGACGCCCCAAACTCATCAGGATGAAAGGAGGAAACACCAGAAGTGACATCTGCGAGGAGGGGTCGGTGAGGACGCAGGGCTGGGACGTTTCCTGCGGGGTTTGGGGGGCTTGGTGGAGATGATGGGAGGGGAAATTCGTCTGGGTGACTCCTGTGAGGGTCCCCAGTGGGATAACACCGGGTTTACCCCACGGGGAATGGGGCTCATTCTTTTATTTTTCCCATCACTGTCGAGTTTGGGGGGAGGTTTGGTGACCTCTGAATTTGGGGGGAGGTTTGGTGACTCCTTCGAATTTGGGTGGAGGTTTGGTGGCCCCTTCAAGTTTGGGTGGAAGTTTAGTGACCTCTTCGAGTTTGGGGGGAGGTTTGGTCACCCCTTTGAGTTTGGGTGGTTTGGTGACCCCTTTGAGTTTGGGTGAAGGTTTGGTGACCCCTTTGAGTTTGGGTGAAGGTTTGGTGACCCCTTCGAGTTTTGGGGGGAGGTTTGGTGGCCTTTTTGACTTTGGGGGAGGTTTGGTGCTGCCAACACACCCCCCTCTCCAAACTGGGGCTGGTAGGGAGCCCCTCGTCCCAAATCCAGCCCCGGGCCGGCCTTGGAGGATTTTTGGGGACTGGGAAGGGCAGTGATGGTGAAACATCTCCCTGTCAGCCTCCTAATCCCGGAACAGGAGTCAGAAGAATCCTAAATTGCAAAAGGAGGGGAAAACAAAGGGAGAGGTTTTCTGATGGAAACGGGCCAGGAAAG